ATATATGGTAAATGAATTACTAATTTTAGAAAAGAAAACCAACTGTTTTCCAAAGTGGGTGTGTCTGCTTTCCAATATCTTATATTCTTCCAGAATCACCATATTTTCCACTTTCATGAAGCTTATTATTTTCTTTGATCAAGTGAATAAGCTACAGGAAAATTTCTAACAAATTGCTCTCACAACTACCAAGAAATTGGTTTGATGTGAGGCAATAATAGAAGAAGAAACACAAATTAAGAGAGGAGTTCTTTGACTAGGTTGGTGGCAGTGTAATTGGTGAAAGGGTGCCAGATTTAGTATTTGTCTGCAGGCATAGTCAACAGGTTTGTTACTGGATTGGCTTGGAGTAGAAAGATTTTTGTATTAAGAACTAGGGGATAGTGGTGCCTTTCATTGTGGAAAATTATTATTTTAGGTATGTGATGCAGAGATATAAAATAAGCAATTCAGTTTAGGAATTTGAGTAGAGAAGTTGTCAATTGACAGTTAGATTGGTCCCAGAGACATATGTTTGGGAATTATTAGTGCTTCAAACTACAATCTTGGATAAGATTAATCTGGAAAGGAGTTGAGATAGAGAAGAGAATGAGGAATCAAGCTACTGTAGTACACAGACACAGTAAAGGAAGAAAAGCCTGTAACAAAACTGAGTGGCAATTGCTTATGAAAATGGAGGAAGACCAACAGAGTCAAACCACGCAACCAAGAGAAAACAAGCAAAAATACTTTGAATAAGGTCATTTATATTGAATTTATATTCATTTATATTGAGGGCTGAGATGTCAAATACAATAAAGACAGAAAAATTACCTTTATATTTGTAATATGGAGTTTTTGTTAATTAGAAAATTCTCAAAGGGATGGCTGGTTAAGAAGACCAACTGCACAGGGTTAAAGAAAGGATACAGGTTGGAAAATGAAGCAGAAATTTAAACCAGTTTTGCATATTGATGGGAATAAGTTTGGAGAGAGATAGAGAAAGAGAGAGAGAGAGATATTAATAGTGCAAGATAGAGAGGAGATTTTAAAGAATCAAATTCGTGTAAAATTGGAAAGGGGAGATGATTCAGAGCATAAATGGAGTGGTTGGCTTTTAGCAGGAAACGGTACATACTATCTTCATAAGTCAGGAAAAAAGGCAAAGTGTTTGAAAACATTTGTGGATTGTGTAGGTAAGTTGGTAGGTTTGTGATGTGTGGGAAAACGAACATGCTCTTTTCTGATTTTCTCAATGAAATATGAATCAAGGGCATTCGGTGAGAGTAGAGATGTAAAATAATTGTCATAGAGAGTGGGAAATGGAAAATACTAGGGAAGTGTTACAGGCAAGGTTGAGTACCTGTTTGAGAGTGTGGCCATGAAATTATTCAGTACCTTTGTGTTTTCTTCTAGTAATATTCATCTTCTGAAGGTTAAGAATAGATTAGGAGGATTGCTGAATTTAATCAAGTTTTTCTAGTTGAGTATCATAGAAAGAGAGTAGTCAGGGAGCAAGAGAGTGATTGTGATGGGCAATGGAATCTAAGCTGAATGAATAAAGGAATGAAGACATAGGGGGGCAATAGATAATGAAGTGATGGGGTCAGTGAATCAGAAGGCTTAATGAAACTAGAGTTAGAGGTTAGGGTACTAAAATAGGTGAACTGGAAGGATCGAAGTGTTGGTAATAAAGAAAAGGATGCTTAAAGTCAAGATTTTGGATATGATATGGTAACTGATGATGAGATCAAGGTATACATGTTGGAAAAGGGTATCATTTGAATGAGAAGCTCAAGGAAGAGAGAAGCCAGGCAGGATGTTATACATGTGGTCTAAGTGGATACTAACAATACCAGGATGTCAAGAGTAGGTGTACAACAGAAGCCAGTGAGCCAAGTCACATGCATCAATTATTTGCTCAACTGAGTATAATCTCTCCTAATTTCAAATTCCCTTTTAAAGTTTGTATCCTCTTCCCAACCTTTGTTTTATTCTTTGCTTTTTGTGTACTTGATTCCCCGCCCCACTTCTTCTAGAACAGGTAATGAGCTCAAACTCACACATAATCTAAGACAATATTGCAGTGAATAAGAGGTTATAAATAGTGGCCCTGGGAAGCTTCTCTATGACTGAGGGTAGACCATTTCATTAAGGGCCAGTATAATTTTGAATAGATAGGAGAACACAAGCCAGTGGTTTACTTTAAGGCTAATGTATCAGAGAAATCATAATTCAAAGACAAGATATATGGAAACGGTCAAAATTTATTTTTCAAAGTGATTTTTCAATTGTTAAATAGTAAAAAAATAAACAAAAATTCATTTAAAGATTTCTTTTTTTACATAAGTTAATTTAAATACACTTTTGTCAGAGACACCAAAACATTCACATATAGATTCCCAATTCCCAGGTTCAGTCAGCAGGTTGATGTTAAAAACAAATCAAGTTTTTTTTTCAAAGACCATTTAAGTTAACAATTTTTTATACTAGCACTTCTAACACTGATTATGTGTTTTTTAACATTAAACCTTTTAAACATAAGAAAAATTCCCCTGAGCTATTTCTCTTTAATGACACTTATTTCTTATTCTCCCACTTCCCAGATGTATATTTTTCATTTATTTACACAAACACTGATTTTATCTGTAATTAGCACTTGGTTTAAAAATAAGAAAACCAATAATACTTTGTACAGAATAAGTCCTTAACAAGTTATGATTGAATGAATTAATGAAGCACCCACAGACTCTTCACAGAGGTCAGTATTATGACACATCCAGGCTAATGAGACAAAATTCTCTGTGGGCTGGTATATAGATTAACCCTAATAATATGAATTCTGTCCTTAATTACTTCATTGTACTAGAATTGGGCTATGGTATAATTCATTCATAAAACTTAATTCAATCATTTCTCTTGATTGTTTACATAATTTAGAGAAGTAATGCAAAATAAGAAATACTGATTCTGACATAACGAAAAAAAATCAGTGATTACAGGGTTGATCACAATTTATAATATTAATGTCCTAATAAAATATAAATAATAATCTTCAATAAATTAAGTAAATACAGTACCAGAAAAATGTCAGCTGACAATGAGATGTTGAAAAGAAGAAGTATCTTCTTGTTGGCAACTATTCAGAATTTTTTTTTTTTTTTAACAAGAAAAGGCTTTCTTTAGAATAGGAATATAACTTCCTGTAAAGAACACCTCTAGTTTTTTCTAAGGCACCAACTTCTTTGGTTACAGATAAACTTAATTATAAGCAACATTCTTGGTCTTTCAGTTAAAGTAAGCTCATACTCTACTGTCTTTGTTAGAGCATTGTTTTCTTCTTTTAGTCACCTTAACCAAAAAACTAATTGCCCTTGAGTTGATTCTAACTCGTGGTGATCCCATGTGCATCAGAGTAGAACTGTGCTCCATAGGGTTTTCAAGGTGGTTTTTGGGGAAGCAGATCACCAGGCCTTTCTTCTGAGGCCCCTCTGGGTAGACTAGAATCTCCAACCTTTTGGTTAGCTGCTGAGTGGGTTAACTATTTGGACCACCCAGGGACTAAGTTATCTTAAGAGGCATTAAATAGCAGTCCTGAGCTGAGGTTTCCCTGAAAACTTGCAAAAGTTTAAGTGAGAAAATATAGGCAGACAGTCCACAGAAAGACTGATTCAGATCTTAAAATCAGGAAAACAAAATAGAAGAGGAAAATGATCAGAAAAGAGTATCTCTTAGCAAAATGGCTAAAAGAAAATCAAAGGAGCAACATGCAGGTCGTCAGGCTTGATTCCAACGCACGTACTGAATTGACTTAGTTAAGATTTCAACAAACATGCGCAATGAATTTAAGGATTTTTAAAGAGGTTTTCTATGAAATCTACGCAATTTTTTGCACTCTGACATGGAATGCTAAGTTATGCTCCAACCAAACCAAACTCACTGCTGTTGAGTCAGATCCAACTCATAGTAAGCCCTCCTTGAGGTTCAGAAGCAGTATCACTATGGAAGTAGATTGCCCAACCTTCCTTCTGAGGAGTGGCTGGTGGATTTGAACCACCGGGCTTCTGGTTAGCAGCCAAGTGCCTTACGCTACCAGAACTCTTTTGCTTGTTACTGGTCACGTAAATTCTGGAATCTCTTAACATAAAATATTCTTATTTTAATTGAAGATATGTTGTAGTGGTCCTACCACCTTAACGCATTTGGCATTTTGATGTTATCAAAAGGAAGTTTTAACAATATAGATTTTCACTCTTAAAAAAAAAGGAATTTCTCGTATAGAATGTTTTAATCACTAATTTGTGATTTTATAGATTTAAATTTATGACAGCTCTTTCTAGTGACAGAAAACCAAAACCAAATCAAATCCTCTACCATCGAATTGATTCTGACTAGTGGATTTGAACTGCTGATATTCTAGTTAGCAGCCAAATGCCTTATCCAGTATGCCACCAGAGCTCCTTTCAATTGACAGAAGTACAAGTTTAATAACTTTAGTGTAGGCAATAAAACAAGCTTTTAAAAGTGACTCTACTCTGTGAATTTAGAAAATTTTAATTGTTGCTTATTATCTCATAATCATACTCATAGAGACACCTCCTTGGGTTTCTGAGGCAGTATCACTACCGAAGTAGATTGCCAAACCTTCCTTCCGAGGAGTGGCTGGTGGGTTTGAACCACCAGCCTTCTGGTTAGCATCAAGTGCCTTAGCCACTATGCTACCAGAGCTCCCTAGCTTTAAAAATATTGACCTGTAATAATTGCTAATGTCAGATTTAGAAATTAATTTAAAAATACATTTGTCCATTTTTCTTTTTGGTTTGATAACAGATAAATGTCTACAATCACGTCAGTATACCAAAAATGTTAATTATTTCTAATGCATCATAGAAGATACATTGGCAATATAAATAATGTAAAAACTTGCAGCATTTTGCCATCTTGTTAACAACATTTAATGTTTGTTAAATGATCTTATGCTTTTGTTACTGCTGTTTTGTTCATATTATAACACAAACTGTCACGAGAAAATACATCTCTAAAGTAGTAACACATGAAAATTTTCACAAGTTTAATCCTTTTCTCCGTAACAGGAGTACCAACTTCTGTTACAGAAGATGTAACATGAGGAGTTTAATATAAATTATTAAATAATTAACTTAGAGGAAATAGTTCATATAAATAAATAAATATGATCAGTAGACTTCTACAGTTCAGTTGAACGTTCTTTTAGCAGTACTCCAGGGTTGATATCGTCTAGTCTGGAGGGAGAAGAACTTGCATTAATGACGACTGTTTTGGTGAGCTGTGGATCTGGTACACTGAATGCAGTATATGGACAGCCCTTCACATTGTTGCAGATGAGAGACTGGATTGAGGCTGTGTTGATGATTTTAAAACCTACTTCCCCACCGAAAGTGCTAGGCTTCCAGTAGTTAGGAGAACATATAGGATTACCCATGAGTCCTTTCAAGGAGAATGGTGCTCCTAATTCTACCATGGTCTCACCAAAGATGGCATCTGGACGAGGCTTTTCTACCAGAAGGGCAGGATACAGCTCCATAGCATCAATGTCACCATACAGTGCCTCTAACTCTGCAGCCATTTCCTTCTCTCCTGTGAAAGTGATAGATTCAAGCAATGTAAAACTTTAAAGACAAAAAAAAAAAAAAAAGTTTTACCCCCTCACTCAGTTTGTTTTCAATGTATCTGTTCTGTTCAGTTTGACCCCGGATTCTTTTAAGAAGCTTAGACTATTTCTCACCAGTAAGGTCTTCAAATGACAAATAGGGCCTCATCCTAAAGCGTTTGCGGTACTCATTAAGAGGCTGGTATTTCATCTCTCTGCTCTGGTCAATAGATGCCTGTGCCACTTTTTGTACTGCAGGTGCAACATTCCTGCCACCAGCAACCTGTGGAAAATGAATTAAATTGTAAAACAAGATTTTTAGGCATATTTACAATTCCTATTTCAAAGCATTCATTGGGTACAAAGTTAGTAATGCTGATGCTCCCCATAAGATTCAAGTTTTTTTTTTTTTTTCCTGAAAAGATGCTTACACACATTTCAATGAAAGCTATGCTTACCATTCAATGGAGCATTAGTCCAGAGCTATTTCACTTTTTAAAATTATAAAATCTAAAAGTTATTTAAGTCTCAAATATTTCTAATAAGATTATACAAAGTTTTTGAAAATTTTTATTTTTAAGCAATAAATATTCATTGCTCTTTCTTGGAAATAGTAGACTTAAAGTTTTAATTTAGACTTTTCAAAAAAAATGTTAGGCTTCTTATTTTAAGAAAAATTTTACAAGAAAAATAATTGATCTTTTATTCAGTTCAAAAACAATCATTTCTATGACAGAAATTCTAAAGTTCACTGACTGGTCTTTTGTTTTGTTTTTCAATAACAATGCTTACCCTGCCAGCAGTTTGCCTGGTGAATGATTCCACAAAGTTAGTAAGTCCATGTTCCAGTAATATAGAGTTGTTGTAGATAAACTGTTGATAGTTGTACTCCTGATTATCAATTAGAAAGGCATCAGGCAGAAGAGGATGCCAGTGGTAGAGTGTGTTAAACTCAGCAGCAATGCGATTTTGGTACTGGAATTCTTGGTTGAAAAGCAGTTCAGGGTCAAACTTCAGTTGGAAGTAATAGCCACTCAAGTGCTGCACATAATCTTCAATCACAATCTTAATAGTCTCTCCTATTTACATGAAAAGAATTAATATTAATCATTTCTAATCATAATCTTAATAGTCTCTCCTATTTGCACAAAAAGAATTAATACTAATCCTTTCTGATCACAAACTTTCTGGCATTTGAAATACAATTTTATTAATTTGCTATTCCTTCACTTCTATTATTGTTTGCCTTTTTAATGTCAAGACAAAAGGTAACTATATTACCTTTTGCTCAAGAATAAAGACTTGGTTATATGGGCTTTTTTTTTTTTTTTTTTTTAATGAATATTGAGCATGTGACTTTACATTCACTATGTTGTTGTTGTTACCTCCCTTTGAGTCAGACCTGACTTATAGCGACCCCTCCTTGAGTTTCGAAGGTGGTATCACTATGGAAGTAGATTGCCCAACCTTCCTTCTGAGGAATGGCTGGTGGGTTTGAACTGTCAGCCTTCTGGTTAGCAGTTAAGTTCCTTAGGCACTACACTACTAGACTCCTTACATTCACTATTCCCTCAGAATTACTCAAACATAGAAAAGATAACAAATTGTTTTCTCTGGGCAAGAAGGTTTATTTTCTTTTGTTGCTTACCTATCAATATTAGCCTGGTTGTCTGGAATAACCGTTCATCATCCCATTCTGGATGCTCCTGTTTAAGCACATCGCATACTCTATTATGTTCCCGAAGCCAAATTGTGGCATACATCATCAGACCAGGCACCAGACCAAAGACCTCTTGGCCCACGGCAAAGCGATGGTGCTCAGGGACATGAGGGGGGTAGATCATCTCTGCCTGAGTATCTTTGACTGTGGGAGGATACATCTCTCCATCAATTATCTAAAAAATTACAGTAATAAATAAACATTGATTAAAAAGAGTTAAAGAAATAATTTTTTATGATTAATGATTTTAAAATATAGATCTAGATGATGGGTCACAATAAATTCTTAATATTCAAATTGAACAAACCTGATATTTCATTTTTCCATCCTCGAAAAGGCGCAGTTTATGCTGTCTATCCAGAGTTTCACCATAAATATGATTTAAATCTACCTAGAATATTACAGAAAAATTTCAATTTGTTACTGCTGAGTTGTTTTTATATAAAATATTTATTAAATAACTTGCCATTAAGTAATTTGATAATTTAGCTTGCTTTAAAATTTTTCAATAAAACACACATTTTTATCATAATCTCAAAATACACTAATTTGTTTAGCCATTAAAGTTACCAAATACTTGTGTTCAATGGTATTAATATCTCATATGTAACTTATATACTTCAGTGTAATTTACATAGTATTTTTAAACAAAGCATTGGAAAACCTGTTATAAGTGTAAAATTTTTATTGATATAATGAAATTTTGATACTGAAATTCAAGAGAAAATAATGATGTAAAAAAATCTTATTTTATAATATTTAAAACTACCCAATCTGGATACTAAAATGCCTTTGAAGTCACAATATTTTGCAATGAAAATATTTTAACCTAAGAGCCAAATTATAAATAGTAAGAGTAATAATTATAACAATAATAATCTATGATCTCTGGTGGCACAGTGCTTAAGGCATGTGATTCCTAATCAGAAGGTTGGTGGTTCAAATCCATCAGCTACTCTGCAGAAGGAAGATGGGGCAATCTACTTCCGTAAAGATTCCCTGCCCAGAAACCCAATTTGGGTCGCTATGAATTGGAATTAACTAGATGGCAATGTGTATGCATGTATGTACGTATGTCTAACCAAACAAGTGAATTAAAATGGAAAACTTCATTAAGATTTTTCCAGAGAGAGAATTATTTAAAAAGATGGTGAATTATTTGGTATGGGAAACAATTTTTTTTTTTTTTTGCCTTTAATGTTAGCGTTCACTATGATATGCTATAATTCTAATTTGACTCTGTCTTACCCCATGGCCCAATCCTTTGGTGAAACCTGGTCCTCGCTTATGATCTGTCTTGAAAAACTGATGGGTGAAGTGCTGGGCAAAGAATGCAAACATCATATTTGTGCCCTGGGGATCAGGGATGAACTTTCTTCTCAGAAGAAATTTTTCCACAATCTCTTTTGAATCAGGAAGCTCTTTTTTCCCTAAAAGATGAGAAAATTACAGTAAGAATTTATAAGTTCAGGTAAGCAGACGATTGTCAGTTTACCAGAGCATTCTTCATATATAAAATAAATGTGAAAATAATTATAATATCAAAAAGTTCTTTCACAATTTATTATTGAGTGGTTTTATCTATTCTTGTTTAACTAGCATTAGTTGCATTTTAAGGAGCTCTGGTGGTGCAGTGCCTAAGGCATCTGACTGCTAACCAGAAGGTTGGTGGTTCAAGCTCTGCAGCTACTCCACAGGAAGAAGATGAGGCAATCTACTTCTATAAAAATTTGTAGTTTTGGAAACCCACTAGGTGTTGCTATGAGTGGGAATTGACTCAATGGCAGTGAGTTTAGTTGAGTTTTAATGAAATAATTTGAAACTATTAAAATATTATAGCAAAATGCTCACTCATTATCATGTAATAATTTACACAGATTAACACTTTAAAAAGAAATCTCTGTATAGATATTCATAATAAAGGAAAAATATACTTTTATTAACAGCTAAATGGTAGTCTAAGATTGAATTTTCTAGATAGCAATCCAACCTCCATTGCAATGAAGACATCTCTGCATCCTGTAACTTACCTTTCACACCCATCGGAGTGGGGCAGTCATGAGGCACAGGAGGAAGGGCTCTGGTATAATAGGAGAGGTTGGAAAAGGCTTCCCAGCTTTTGTAGCCATAGTGAACATTATAAGTTGGTGGACTGTCAATCAAATGTGATCTTGCTGAAATTTCCAAGAAAAAAAAATTTGTTCCCATAAGCAAAGCAAATCAACATTTATTTTTATTTTAAAATAGAAAAATTGGACTAGAGATTGAATTCAGTTTCAATGATCAGATAGTGTATTTTAAAACAACTATTCTTTAAGGTCTAACTGCCACTTACAATCAAAAAAGCAGAAATAATGATTGATTAATATGCATCTTTATACATATATACATTATAGATACTTTCCAAAGCAATCTTGCAAGCTTGATTTTTAGACAACAACCCAGTTCTCAAGAGATGAATTAACAGGAATGGCTGGCTTGGAACTCATTTTACAGTAACAGAAAGTTTTTTTTTTGTTTGTTGTTGATCCAAATAAAAATTAGCTATTTTTAAAAAATGGGTGCTATGCTTTCAGAAAAATACTATGGCTTATTCTCATTCAAGAAACAACTGGACCACAGTTCCCTTTCAACTTAGCAGGGACAGTGGTAGAGTGAAATGTAGAAAAGGTGTACAGTGTTCTAAAATAGATTTATGACTATGAAAGAGAACTGTACAAACTGGATGAGACTCAGATTTCAGTATTTTTAGCCATTGAAATAGAAGTCATACTGAAAAGGTATATTTAAAGTCATTTTGTCAAGGTTGGAAATATATTTTTGGATTAGGCTTAGTAATCCACAGTACTATAAAGCACACTTTTCTCTCAGGAAGATGAAAATCTTAGAAAGAGACTCATACTTACATGTTAACACATATTTCATAATGGCATTTCTCAGAAAGGGAAGGTTATTGACAATGTTCCAAACACTCTTGAAGTGGGTAAGTATGTAGTGTACTGTGTTTGGAGTGGGTTTCAGTAATAATTTTATTCTTGTCAGAAATTCAGCTGCAAAAAGAGAAAAGAAGGGCAGCAGAAATTAACATGACTGTTAATTTCCAAAACAATTAACTGTAAAATAATAACTGTATATAGTTCCATTTCAAGTGAGGGAACCTAAGGAAAAACTTACGTGTTGAACAGTTTTCACCATAGAATCCTGTCCGGGTACAATCACATTTATACTGGTCAAATCCTGTGCTCATACATACACCTTGATTTTGACATGGGTTGGAACAGCAAGGATTTACTACAATAAAAATAACGACAGGAGAGAAATCATTCTTCAGTGTCTTACTCTTGACTTCAACATTTAATTGTTTTTACTAATGGGCCAACTTGACAAAAATAAATCCAAGAACTATATAGGTGGTCATGGGAAAACAATTTTTTCAAACCTGCCTCACTGAAGTGTTATAATTTAGAAATATCAACTTCCTATTCTAAATAAGAGTAACAGAATATTCAACCTGAGAAATCATGTTGCTAAGCCTTTTTCTTAATAACTTTTTAGGTGTAAAAATTAGCATTTTTAGGAAGCTCAAATAAGTAGCAGTGCCAAAATTAAAACGGATAGATCTAGTATAAAAATTTTAGGAAAATTTTCAAAATAAAATATTTTATAAATGTTTGATTATAGTAAAATAAAATAAAATAATCTAGGCTTTCCTGGGGCAGAAAAGCACTATCATATTTCAAACAATTATTCCCATTCAATTACAGTAAGTACCACCACAAACAAACCTTGTATGTATCTGTATCAGATTCTATGTTATGATCACGACAATCTGCAAATCAGTATCACCACTCACACTTAGCAGAGGAAAAAAGCGAGGCTTAGACCAGTTAAGAAACTGTTTCATGATGAGCAGAGCTGCTGGCAGAGCTAGCAAGCATAGGCACCACTTTCTCACTTAAGTGGTCCAAGTTCGGAACAAAGTCATGCAACTTTTGTATTCGGAAGAGGAGAGTGTTCAGCTTACCGGGAAGGACCCGGGAATCAGAGCGGAAACTGCCCGGGGCCAGGATCCAAGGAGTCCCTAGTGCCAAGAGCCAAGTACTCACCTGCTTGGCTGAGTGCCACGGCCGTGCAAAGCAGCAGGACGCGGGCGAGCATCTCTGCAGCCGGCTCAGTGCGAAGTGCAGGGCGTTCGGAGGTGTGTATGTCAGTGGAGTCCGGACTGTAGAAAGAGGCGCTGTTGAGGAGATCTTGGCGGTACTCCTGACGCTTGCCTCAAGTCCTTTGACAACTGGAGGCTAACGGGGAAACACTTCCCCTTTTATGAGTGAAAACCAAACCCACGTGACCTAGTGACTGTTTTTTTCCGCCTTCCTTACGTCCCGCAATTTTTTTTTTTCCCTCGACGCTCAATTAATTGCGTAAGTCCAGGGGTGGAAACATTTTTTATGACACTCAAGTGAGAAAAATCGGAAGCTCAAGAAGCTATCCTCTGCTGCCCCGCAACGCAAAAACGCAACCACTGCAGTGGAGTAGAATCCGACACATAGTGACCCCTCCTTGGTTTCCGAGGCTGTATCTCTACAGAAGTAGATTGCCCAACCTTTCTTCCCAAGAGTGGCTGGTGGGTTTGAACCGCCAGCCTTCTGGTTAGCTAGCAGTCAAGTGCGGATTGCACCCCC